ACCTGTTCGGAATCTCCCATGCATGCTACTGTTTCGACACAACCTGTTTTGGACACGGATCCAGTTTACACCACTTTGGAGGTTCCATCGTCCCCTCCCATTGTCTCGGCCGCAGGAACCCAAGAGGATGCCCAGATGGACACACATCTTCTAGGACGGGGTTTACGTTCCAAACGTCCGTCTGTTCTACTTCGGGATTTTTTCGCTCATCATACTCATAATTTGAGCCCATCCCCGTTGACTGCCCCCTCCGTCAGCTCCTCAGGTACTCCTTATCCTATAGCTAATTACATTAAATGTGACAAGTTTTCTATTGGCCATCGGTTGTTTCTTGGAGCATTACTTGCAGGTCATGAACCCAGGTCTTTTAAGGAGGCCATGTCTGATGCGGGCTGGCGCGCGGCTATGCAGAGTGAGATTCGGGCTCTCGAGAACAATCATACATGGGTTATGGCATCTCTTCCAACCGGTAAGAAGGCTCTTGGGTGTAAGTGGGTGTATAAAATTAAATATCACTCTAATGGAACAGTTGAGCGCTTGAAGGCGCGGCTGGTTGTATTTAGAAATCATCAACAGGAAGGCATTGATTATACAGAGACATTTGCCCCGGTAGCCAAAACGATTACTGTTCGCATGTTCTTAGCTGTTGCAGCGGCCAAAAATTGGGAACTTCACCAGATGGATGTTCACAATGCCTTTCTACATGGTGATTTACATGAAGAGGTGTACATGAAGCCCCCACCTGGTTTCACTCCTTCTCGGCCGGGACAGGTCTGTCGTTTGCAGAAATCTTTATACGGATTGCGTTTGGCCCCTCGCTGTTGGTTCGCTAAATTGGCTACTTCTTTGAAAACTTATGGTTTCATTCAATCTTATTCTGATTACTCCCTTTTTACGTTCTCTCAAAGGGATATTCATCTTTATGTGCTCATATATGCTGATGATTTAATTATTGGTGGTAATAATTCTTGCGCTATCTCTCAGTTTAAGTCTTATCTGCATAACTGCTTCCACATGAAGGATCTTGGTGTTCTTAAATACTTCTTGGGATTGAGGTGGCGCGTAGTGGTGATGGCATCTTCCTTTGTCAACGAAAATATATTTTGGATATTATCTCCGAATCTGGTCTTCTTGGTGCAAAACCTGCCGCATTTCCTATGGAGCAAAATCATGCTTTGGCTCTTTCTCAGAGTACACTGTTAGCTGATCCCAAGGGGTATCGGCGTCTAATTGGCCGTCTACTGTATCTCTCTTTCACCAGGCCAGATTTAGCCTATGTTGTTCATATTTTATCTCAGTTTATGCAGGCTCCGCGTCAAGATCACTGGCTGGCAGCTTTACGGGTGGTGCGTTACCTCAAGGGTACTTCGGGCCAAGGCATTCTTCTTAGCTCTACGTGTGATCTTACTATTTCTAGTTGGTGTGACTCGGATTGGGCCAGTTGTCCGTTGACTCGTCGTTCCCTTACCGGTTCGGTAATCTTTTTGAGTAATTATCCTATCTCTTGGAAATCCAAGAAGCAGCATACTGTCTCTCATTCTTCTACTGAAGCCGAATACCGGTCTATGGCGGCTACCACGGCAGAGCTAAAATGGATAAAAGAGCTTCTTCTCAATTTCGACATTTCTCACTCTCACCCTATGTCTCTCGCGTGTGATAGTCGTTCTGCCTTACACATTGCACATAATCCCGTCTTTCATGAACGCACGAAGCATATTGAGGTGGATTGTCATTATATTCGTGATGCTATTCAGTCTGGTGTGCTTATTGCCCGTCATGTCTCTACCGTTGATCAGCTCGCGGATATCTTTACCAAAGCCTTGGGAAAACAACAATTACTTTACTTACTTCGCAAGTTGGGCATTTTTGATCCGCATGCTCCAACTTGAGGGGGATGTTAGGCCATATATTTGTGTGTATGGGCTCGGCCCTATTTGTAGCATATTGTATAGACTTATTTTACCCTAGTTTGTATGATTAACTTGTATAAATATCTATCATTGATTAATGAATAACTCAAGGGGGAAATTAACCCGACGTTTAGCTTTGAATTATTCGCACTCTCCCTACGTTCGTAGCACAAACTTTAGTGACCAAGGAAAATAAAAAGGGTATGTTTTATAGAGCAAGGTACTACTTGTATGTGTAATTTGTTCAAATAAAAGGTGCATTTTAGATAAAAATGAGAACTAATCTTATTTATCATTGATATGGAAAAATATAAGAATGTGATCACTTTTTAAATCCAAAATATAAAGAACTTATGATATACTAGTAATACTACCTCCAACCGTTTTTTATTTAATTAGGCATCTGAAATAAAGATGGAAACTTTGATCCATTATTTTAATTCTTACTCCGTATTTTTATGTGAAATTTAAAAAAATTATATTTTTATAATAGTATTTTTAACAAAAAAAAATTCATATCATTTTTATATTATCAATATTACCATTTATAAATATATATAATCGGTCAAACATCATTACTTGAAAAGTTGGTTAAATAAGAGTAAGAAATACTCTTATAAAAGAGGGTTGCTATAATGTGTCAACATCAAAAAGTGTATTCTTACATTATAAAAGTGTATCAAAATCCAAAATAAAATGTTCAAAACCTAACAAATATAATGACGACGTACAGTTTTAAACATACACCTAGGAGAGCAATTACACAGCTATATGTTAGAAATAAAGAGTATAAAATAGTCAAACTCCATTTGAGTAAGTTTATTATATTCTAAATAGACATAGAACCAAGCATTTCAGCTCAGCTAGTTGTGACATTATCGTGTCTAATAGGAGGTCTCGAGTTCGAAACCCGCTAGGCACATAAGGGTTTGAAACTCAATGGGCTGAGTTTCGGCCCTGATTACTCCAGGTCCCCTCATACCCCCTAGAGTAGAAAAGAAAAAAGAAAAAAGAAAAAATATATCTAAATAGACATAGATAGTTTTTTTGGGAAGAAGGTGGCTTAGATTAAAATCATAACATCCAGAAAGGGGCTAAAATAACAAAAGCATCACAAGCAACCATCCGCCCTTGGGTCAGACTCTGAGTTCATCACCTTTCACAAAGCAATATAACTCGTTGATACGAAAATGGGCATAATTGAGCCAATAATGGTTACTGCAGAACTCTTATCCCCCAAACCTAATGCAAGAGTCTTACAATAATAAAAATAACCAACAGAAAAATAGACAGTCAGAACTTGAAAAATAAATCGCAAGAAAAAGTAAAATTAAAAAGGTGCTTCCAAATCCTAGACCAATCTGCACTCCATGGCGGCGGTTCAGGAGGGGGACACCGGACACTCCAGCAGTACTGTAGCTTCGATCTACTTCACCTTGCCTCTTATTCATCCTGTTTTCTACCAAGTTTCCTCTGTAGGGATTATTATTGTCCCCTCCTAAAGTCATCCTCTTATATTGGTCCAGCACTTCCTCCATCAGTTGAGTAGCGTAATCAGCCTGCCGCCCCAAGCTCTGCCGCAAGCCCACCAATCGATGCTAGAGTCGAAGCCGCCTCGATCGATCCCCTGCTTCCGCGTTTCTGAAACCAGCCCTCGAATCCGCGCCCCACCGCCACATTCTTCGTCCCTGCTTCGCAAGCGCTGCTACACCGAGGCGGAAGAGACGGGAAAACTGATACTACACTAGAGACGGCTAGGAAGGCAAACCCTAGAGAAGATTACTTCCTACTAATAGGCTAATATAATTAGGAATCTACCTAATAGATATTTAGGAATCTGCCTAATATCTATTTAGGAATACTTTGTATTTTGGCAACTCCTCTATTATAAATATATCTGTCAGGACTCCTATTGGAGTACCTCTTTCCCATTATTTCACATGGTATCAAGAGCTCTAGGTTTGTAGATACAATTTTTTTCTTTTTTCGGTTCCCATGAACCTTATTATAGCCGCCGCCGCCTCAGGGTCGACTGCCGCCACATTTACGGTAGTCTCCGATCCTTTGAAGATGAGCGCGGCTAATATGGCGCAGATCACCTCCTTCGCGTCGTTGAACACGGTGCTTGCTTCCAGCGTGCCGTTGAGTTCGCCGCATGCTGCTGCCTATGTCCGCGCAGCCCACCTTCTCTGCGTCGCTGACCACAGTGCTTGCTTCAAGCGCGCTATTGAGTTCGCCGCTTGCTGCTGTAGACATATATTCTCATGGAGATCTTATTGTCAAAGATGTGCCTTCTAATCTTCCGCTCACGGATATATTTACTTAGAGTTTTTTTTAGTTTGCAATTTCATTTTTTTAAAAGACAATCTGCGCGTTGTATCTCCCGCACAGTTTGAGGGGGTGTAATAGGCTAATATAATTAGGAATCTACCTAATAGATATTCAGGAATCTGCCTAATATCTATTTAGGAATACTTTGTATTTTGGCAACTCCTCTATTATAAATATATCTGTGAGGACTCCTATTGGAGTACCTCTTTCCCATTATTTCACACCTACCACCTCACTTTAGTTAATATATATATATATATATATATATATATATATATATTTAGTATAAATAACATAGATAGTTTTAAAAAATCGTTTTCAATAAGGCTGTTAAAAAATAACTTGCTTTGTCATTTTTGGATATTCTCACTATCCTTTTTTTGGTTACAATTTTGTTTAATTAGCTTTAAAAGAAAGAGTACCGGTATGTATGACATAATCTAGAATGAAATTACCATATTTCTGCACCTCATGTGTTTGTGGCCTAATTCCGATGAAATTAAACTTGTTTAGCTAAATGTTCGTGAAGTAATTGTGGAATCAAGATGTAGAGAAAAGTCAACCAAAAAAGTCAACCAAAAAATATAATTGGTGTCCTCCGATCCCACACGTAAAGATCAGTATTCCTTGATGTACAACGCAACAAGAATTACTCGATGGCCTGAAATAAAAAAGCAATCATAAATATAGATGTATATGTATAAGAAAAGAACTCTTAACTTCCAAATATTCTTTACTTGCATTCGTATAAGAGGGAAACTATATTACATGAAGTAGTTAACACTCTTAGATGGACATAATTTTTTGCCTACTAGGGAGAATTTTTGTTGATTGAAGACATAGATTGTTCGCTCGAAGTTTGGTTATATATGAGGAGTTATGGAGAGAGAACCTTGCTAACAAATGGAAGGCTTTGATGATTCAACATTAAATAGTGTCATAGAGTCTCATTATCCTTTCATATCGTATAGACCTTTACGACCATCTGATTTAAAAGTTCTTGAGAAGATCCATGGAGAGTTGTTCCCTTTCAGGTTTGCAATCACTTATTATGAGTTCAATTGGGGTGGTCAAGATATATATAAAAAATATATATACTTATTTCTCTAACTTACTATAGAGCATTACAAATATTTGTTTTAATTGTTGCATATAGAACTACTCTGTATAACAATAGGAAAATTCACAAGTATATGTTCTTACTCTTTAGAGCAAAGTTTCTTTCTACTAAGAACTATGAATGCGAGTTTTTTCTCTTTATAGGAGCAAATTACGCCTATTAATCATTATTTTCAGAAGGACTCATATAGGTATACATTTGATGATTTTTACTTCTATATCGGAAACTTTTTCTTTGCGTGGGGACTTTGGAATAAATGTTTTTACCAAAGTTGGGGTGAGCGACGGAATGGATTGTCCCCCATTGATCATGCCATGTATCATGTATGTGTTGGTTGTTAGTTTCTTATACCGAGCGTGCGCCCTAGTTACACATTTTAACGATGGCTTCTCGTTCTATCAGTGAAAAAGTGTATAATTCGGGTGTCCTAGGTACGAACCTGAGTTTTTCCAAGATATTGTAAATGGAGGTAATGGCATTGTATCTTGGGGAGCTGTTGACTGCAATAGGACCAATGGTAAGAGTGATGAACTTATTGGATTTGTTACCACAGAAGTTGTCTTTGCAAGAGGAAGCGAGGTTGGTTTGTTGGCCTCCTTGAATTCATGCACGTTAGATGATTTTTGTCTAGTCTAGGAAACTAAAATAAACCCTTAATTTGTTGTCACTGGTCTTTGTACAGGTAGATGATCTTGTCAAGTTTGATCCATCAAAGCCTAATGAGACTGTAGCTTATATCTTAACGCTTGGAGTCTTAAAATCTTATAGAAAGCTTGGAATAGGTGAGATTGTCTTTTGTTGATATAGTCCTGATGTGGGATTGCATTTGTTTTGGTAAAACTCTTGTTCTGTCCCAAAGTAATCTGAACATATTACTCAATGCATTTAAGAACACTTTTCCCTCTCAATTCCCAAAAAGTATTTACTAATGGATGTCCTCTGGAATTGAAATTTCAGCCACTTCTCTAATCAGTTTGGTCATTGATTATGCCACAAGCATGCAAACTTGCAAAGCAGTTTATCTTCATGTGGTTTCTGACAATGCACCGGCTATCTCGCTCTACAAGAAAATGTCATTTAAATGTATAAGGAGATTGTGTTCTTTTTATCCGATCGAAGCCGGTCAGCGGGACGCATTCTTGTACATATACTACCTTAATGGTGGCCGTTCTCCTCGCTCGCTCATGTAAGTAGAGTTTTATGAATTGGCTCGACACTCAACGCATTTTCAAATAAAATTCAAAGTTTGAATTGTTTTAGTGGATTGAAATATCAATTCTCATATTTTGGTTTTAAACTATTGATAAGTCATGGAACGTTATTTTGCAGAGAGGCTGTTACCCTTTTGATTAGTTATGCAAAGGGTATACTTCAAAAGTCCATCACGGCCATATTGTGAAAATGTGAGAAAGTAGACTTCCGATTTCCGAATGTATGGAAACAGAACAAACTTTTGGGAGGACATAATGTAACTGAAACAACAAGCAGAGTTCAATTTGTTTATTCATCAATTATATGTACACCTCTTGAAATCGTGTGAATAATGGATGAGAAGATAAAAGCAATATTTTAGTCCTAATTTTATTGTTTGTGAGGTTCACAATTTCACATGCCTTCAAAAAGAGATATGATGATTGAGATCAAAAGACATACACTTGACACTTTCAGTAAGCTAATGATCTTCATATCTACTACGCAACAAACTAGTGAGTTTACATACAGAAAATGACTTTACATTAGTGTTGCTCTTCTGCTTCATCATCATGTTTGGAAAAGAAATCAAATCATGTCATGTTTCATGCTTCTAGTAGATGCTTGATGCTTCAATACTTGTATTGTAACGAGAGCTTCGAGCTTTATGTACTTGGGCATGTTGGTCTCATACAGGACCCATTAAATTCATTTTTTGGGGGTTCAAAATAATTTTTCGGGGCGAAAATTATTTTTTGAGGTGGTGAAAATTATTTTTCGTATATATACATTAAAAAAATATTGTTGGGAGGGCGATAGCCCCTGGATCTCTACTACGGTCCGCCCTTGGTCTCATATATATCAACAGTCTGGCCTCTTTTTTATATGAACTCCTCTTGGTAGACTTGTAAACCTCGATCATTCATCTTCCAAGTCTATTATTATTCATCATCTTCTCCATTCTAGCTCTATAGCTCTCTAAATTACTCTGTATATTTTTTTTTATCATCAAACGGGCCTCTATTCATATCAAAAGATTCAGGATCGTTACATCAAGCAAAAGGAAAATAAAACTGACACCAACTGAAACTCCAAAAACTACGACTGTAACCCTATGGTGAGACTTTGAGACGGTCACCCCTGAGAGAGCAACACGAATCGCTAACCATGTAATGAACTTGACACAACCAAACCTGTTCCCATAGATCCAACCATACCCAATGACATAAAGAGAGGTAAAAAAACTCAAACAAACTGTCAAAACCAACAACAAAAGTGGATACAAGAAAACAAATGACAAACAGATAAAAACTACAAGAAAAGCGTTCACGAATACTAGCACCTCGTACATCCCATGGTGGTGGTTCAGGAGGAGGTCGTACCACCGGGACCATGCTAGTTGATCCTCCGTGACCTTTGGCTGCCAAAGACCATGCAACAGTCCTCCGTCCCTGCATAACCAAACTCATCCATGCTCCGTGCGACCAGAGTAAACGGATAGACGGCGCCAATCTTCTCCAAGGAAGACAGCAACGCCTCATACTCGAACTTTGACCACAACGCCGATCTCCTCAAGCCATGACAGCAAATCCGCCCTCCGAAGACGAAGCACAAACAACAGGGACCGTCTTTCGATTAAAATCGAAGACGGAAAAAGCGATCGTCCTTCGATTAAAATCAAAGACGGAAAAAGCGGCCGTCCTTCGATTAAGATCGAAGACGGAAAAAGACTCCAAGCGGCCGAAGCCCTAGAGAGAAGCGAGAAATTCCCTACTCCGTATATATTTGGATACTCAATTATCCATCACTACTAATGTTAACATTGTATTTCACTCTATTTATTTCATTTTAAGTCCTACTTACAACCCTTCAACCGAGTAGGGATACCTCTACAACAATTGTATAAATTTAAAAAAAAAAATAGCTCAACTAAAGCAGAAATGTCTTACCAAAATTAGTCTCAGTACTAAGGGAGTGTTTGCAACTGCTTCTGCTTAAAAAACACTTGTGGACATGTAAAGAAAAAGTGATTAGTAGGAAAAGTTGATAGTGTTTGAGAAAAAAGTGATTTTGAAAAGTAAAAGTTGATAGTGTTTGGTAAAATAAGTGCTTTTTGTGTAATAGAAAGGGGAAAAGCACTTTTCACACGCAAGCCGAGAAAAAGTAAAAATTGATAGTGTTTGATAAATAAGTGTTTTTTAAGCCAAAAGCTGAGAAGTGCTTTTTTAAGTGATTGCAAACACTCCCTAAGTCTCGCCCGCTTTGTTTAAGTGCATATTTGACAGATATAAGTTTTTTCTTTCTAGCTTTTGTACTGTTTAAAAAGTTTCTAAAAGTTTCTAGTTGTAGTTGTATGTTTGGCATGACAAATTTTAAAAGTTTTTCAAAATATAAAAGATCTTTTTTTAGATGCTACATAGAGTAGCATCCGAGAAAAGTCTGTGACTTTTAGTATCAATTTGTCTTAATAGCTTGTATACAAAACATATCTAAATCCAACAGTCAGCTTTTTACCATACAGTCACTAAAAGTTAACAATTATTTAAACACTTACAAAAGTATCTTTCAGCTAGTTGTGTCAAACATACTCTAACTACTAAAGTTAAAAATCATTTGGAGCTTAATTTAGAAGAGATCCCGTATGGGCTTTGGGTGTAATCTCGATGAATAGGTAACCTTATTTATTTATTTATTTATTTATTTATTTATTTTGTACGTTGGTGTAACATTCTGCTTGAAATATTACAAACTACTTCAATTTAAAATTGTTATTGTTATTGTAATAAAATTGGTGTGCTCGATTAGTTCTTCCAGTGCGGAGTACCCTACGAAGTAGAGGTATTCAACTTGATGACACTTGCCCCTTTTGTAACTGTGGAGAAGAGTCTATACAACACTTATTTTTGGATTGCTCAATCACACAAACTATGTGGTCAGATTCTTTCAAAGAACTGTAACCTCACCAAAATTCCATCTTTCTTTCTTGGCTATCTGGGATCAAATCAGGGACGGAGGAAGATAAGAAAAAATTGCAGCTCTCTTGTGGACTGTTTGGAAGGCTCGAAATGAGCTTATCTGGAACGATAAACGCCTTAGCTCCTCAGAAATACAGTTTTTGGCCTTAAAGCTTATACATGACTGGACTTCTCCTACTCAGAATCTCTATTCAGCAGCTGAGCCCGATCGACTTCAACTCATGGCTTATACTATTCCAGAAAATAATGTGGTGTGCCACGTGGATGTTGCCGTTGACCCACAGACAGGGAAAGCTTACTTTGGAGCGGTTATTTGTTCCATAACTAACGATTTTATTGCAGCTAAAAATGACCCTCTTCGGTATACTATAGACCCACACACGGCTGAAGCAATGGCAGTGAAAGAAGCCCTCTCGTGGATGAAGAATGAAGCTTGGACAAATATTCGGGTGGAGATGGATTGTCTCAATGGGTGTAATTTTTTGAATGTTCCAACTCAGGATTTTTCTTATGCAGGTGCCATCATTTCCAGCTGCAGATCTTTAGCAAGACAGTTTAAAAAGGGTCTAGTCTGGTAAACGTCTGGTCTCTGTGTATTTTATAACTACGGAAGTTAAGTTTGGTCTGATCTGGTCTGGGACTGAAAACAGTCCAAAAGAAAACATCCAAGTTGTGATATTCTAATTTTGTTTTGCACTTCCATAAAGTAAATTTCTTTTTTTATCACATTAGATTTCTATATATGTAAATTTTACATGTTAATACGGAGTACTAAGTTATACCTTATCAAAATAAATATTTTAAAAATTCGAGTTTCATCAACTTTACTGAAACAATTTAATTTAATATATTAATAGTGAACAATGTCTACCGATAATGTTAAAATTACGCTTTTACGCATAGGCAGGGGCGGAACCACCATATATATATATGTATATATGTATATATATATACATACTGTTGGTAGAAAATATCTCGGGTAGAGAAACTAGCAGCATTTCAGTATAGTAAAAATAGCGTACCGAATACATGGGGGGTGATGGCCTATTTATAGGCATCCATCACAAGTCCAAAGTCTAACATACGTGGGCTTGGCCCAAATACATAACACATGTCCAAGCTAATGGGCAAACCGGCCCGATAAATAAGTAAATGAGCAAGGGGCGATTCCCGCTCGTGAGACTGCGTCTTGGGCCTAGTTGGGCCAAATCTCGGGGATAACGGGCCGATGACACTGGGCCTGGCATATTATCCCAACACGAGTCCCCCACTCCCGTAGTCGAGTAGTAGACTCGGCTAAAAGGGAGTAGTTGAGCTGCTTTGAAATCGGCCCAGTTGCCAAGCTAGCTAGCTAGTTACACATATGATCGTTGATGATGACGATCTGCGGTGTGCCCGGAAAGGTTAGTCATGTAACCGTCTGTTGTGATCCCATAATGTTGCGCATGGATGAGACCCTCCCTGTCTGGGTAGCATCTCGGGGTCCTGGTTATCAGGCCAGCTGCCCGGGGTCTTCTTTGCTCCAACCGGGAAGACCTCTTCCTTTGTTCATGATGAGGGGATGCCTCGTTAAAACCTTACTAGGAAAAAACCCGGTGGGGAAAAAATCCTAGTGAAGGAAAAAGAGTACACCGGTACCTCAAAATAAAACAGAGGAAGGTCAGTCTCGTTGGTTCTTGATTGAGCGTCTGCTTTACTGGTAAGCCGAGATATGTTCCGGGAAGGCCAGTTGCTCGTCTGTTTTCCAGTAGTGGTGGTCGAGCCAAGGCACGCTTGGGAGAGACTACTCGCAAAATTGTTTGCTGGTGATGCCGAGCCAAGGTATGACCAGGAGCGGCCAGTCACATACTTGTTTGCCGGGAATGGCGAGCCGAGGTATGCTCGGGAAAGGGCACATCTGTGCACATTGATCCCAACTGCTTGCGAGAGGATAAGACTTCCTTCGTCTGGGTAGCAGTTTTAGGTCTTGTTTATCTGATTAGCCTCCCGAGGTCCTGTTCTTCCGATCAGCAGCCTGGGGTCTTGTTTGTCCGATTAGCAGCCCAAGGTCTTGTTCCGGTGGAGAGATCTCTTCTTTGAATGCACCCAAAATAGAGCTAAAGAGTAAGCTCTTAAGCCATTGTGTGTAGCTGCAACGGTCGCCCTCTGCTGAGGGGATAGCAAAGACCGGTCTTCACTTGTGAGCAGTGCTTGTCTGATGTTCTCGAGATAGATGCAGTGAGTAGTCTGCCATGATAAGTAGTCCCTATTGATTGCTATTATTACCTGTTAGAGACATGGCAGGTAAAAGAGGTGCTCTCGCTGCTTTAGCTGCAATGCAAGATACTAAGTTTTGGCCTTCAAAGTCAGATGAAGGTTTGTTTTAGGCAGGGAAGAAGCCCGGAGCTTCTCCGCCTGGTGCTGGGGAAAAGAGAGAAGCTTCCCTGCTTTGCGAAGAGCGGCTTTCCAAGAAGAGCAAATGTATAAACTGCTCCTTAGGCCAGGTAAAGGGAGATAACTCAACCGGCAGAATCCTCGCTTACTCTGTTCGTTTCCTCACAGGTACGGTAGGTCGGAGAAGTGCACTTGCTGCCCTGACCTTCGTTTCCTCGTAGGTATGGATGGTCGGAGAAGCGCATTTGCTACCTTGGATGCGACGAAAGATGCTAAGTCTCGACCTTTGACATCCGATGCAAGTCTATCTAATGACGGGGAGAAGCACACAAATTCTCCACATGATGTCGAAGAGATGCTTGGAGCTTCAAAGCCTGATACTGGGGAGAGGCACGCACCTTCCCTGCCTGATGACGGGAGATGCTAAGAGTTTCTCCGCCCGATGTCCGTGAGATGCCCAGCTTCTTTGCATGATATCGGGAAGATTCTCAGCTTCTCTGCATGAAGTCGGAGAGAAGCATGCACCTTCCCTGCTTAATGTCGGGAGATGCTAAGAGCTTCTCTGCCTGATGCTGAGGAGAAGCAAATAATTTCCCCGTCTGCACCATATCACTTGGAAGAGTAAAGGCACGAAGCCGATCGTCATCAGAGGGACAAGACCAAACCAACAGAAGTATGGATTGCCCTGCATCCCAGCCAAAGCATGAAAGTTATCTACAAAGGTCTTCCATTTGCTAAAGGAGTGGTTAAGATCAGGCTTGTGATGAAGAAATCGTCGTTATCCTAGAGGACGGCGGGTTAGCTCGATTGTAGAATCGGGACAACGACATTTAGTATGGTCGTGATGAATCCAAAGCAGCGATCATCATCCAACCGAAGAATGATCTGACCGATCTTGAAATGGGATTGATGGTGTTGAGCCGGTGCTGACGTAGACGATGATGGGGGTGATGGCCTATTTATAGGCATCCACCAAGCACAAGCTCATAAGTTGTTCGGCCCACACCCCGATAATAACAATAGGTGGCAAAGAAAATGGGTTCGGGCGTTTGCTCCTGTGGTGTCCCCCATCACGGTCACCTGGGGTATCCGGATGCACAAGTATAAATCTGTTTCCATCGCTTCCGATCTTCAGAGAGAGATCGATGTTCTGTTCCAGGGGAGTCCTTTCCCGATCACCTCACATCTGGGTGAGTTTCGTACTTAGAAAATCCCCCATTATTCTAAAATATTCCTCCTTGCTCACTGCTGCTTATTCTTTATCACAGATACTACGGGCAGGGAAGGCGCCCCTTGCTGCTCCTGTCGCAGTGCAGGACACTAATCCTCGGCTTTCCATATCTGATGTTGGCCCATTTAATGTTGGACAGAAGCGAAGGGCTTTTCCATCCAGTGTTGTAGGAAAACACGCAGCTTCCCCGCCTCGTGAAGAGAAACTTGCTAGGAAGAGCAAAGGTATGAACCGCTTCTCCGGTCGGGTTAGGGAAGGCACCCCTACCCGTGAAACTCCAGCTTACTTCGTTTGTTTTCTTGCAGATGCAGCCAGTCGGGAGAATCATGTAGCTTCCCTTCCTGATGCTGGGGAGAAGCATGCAGCTTCCCTGCTCCACAAAGTACCACCTGCTGGGAGGAGCAAAGGTATACGCTGCTTCCTAAGACGGGCAAGAGGAATAATCCCGTTAGTGGGTACCAGGCTTACTTCGTTCATTTCCTTCCAGATACGGTGGGCCAGAGAAGTGAACTTGCTAACCTGGCTACGAAGGAAGATGCTAAATCTTGTCCCCCGATATCTCACTCAGGTTCCGATGGTGCTAAGGAGAAGCGCAATTAATTCCTCCTCCTCCAGTGAGGAGCTACTTGCTAAGAGGAGCAAAAGTGTAGTCTGCTTCTTAGGGTAGGTAAGGGAAATAACCCTACTTATTGGATCCCTATTCACCTAGTTCATTTCTTTGCAGATGTGCCAGGTCGGAGAAGCGAACTTGCTGCCTTGGCTGCAAAGAGAGATGATAAGCCATTTTCCATGTCATCTGATCTTTTTTCCCTGCAGGGACTGACAGATCCGGCCGCATTGCTCCGTGCTATGAAAGATCAGCATACGGAGCTCCAACGTCAAGCTGATTAAGCCCATCTTTAGGCTACCTAGGCTCGGCAGCATGCAGATGGAGCGGATGCAGCCTTGAGGATACTTGTCTCATGCAATGAAGAGGATAAGAGAGCCATGATCGATCTCCAATCAAAGTGTGACCAGCTGAAGTCGAGTATAACCAAGTAGAGGTGTCGTTTGCGGATGCAGCGCAACAAGCAATTGCGGTGCTCAAAGCTTCTCAGGAGTTCTCCGAGCTTCTTGCTTCCCAGACTAAAGATGTGGGGCACTAAGCATCCCAGGAATTCACGAAGCCCGTTTCTTCCCAGACGTATGCTCTCCGCGCAGAGCAAGTTCATGATTGGCTTCAGACCAAGGAGGGTTGCAATTGGCACAAAAAGATGTCTTGTTCTCTTTTAGTTGTGGCCGGCATGATACACAGACTAGCCGTGATGAGGCGGAGAAGGTGGGCAATGTTGATGTCGAACTTGTTCTCCGTGATTGATTTATCACTTCAGCTTGTACGTATGCATCGTTCGTTCTTTCAATTTTCTTAGTCGTTTTTCATTCAAGAATACTTGGACAACTTATCGGGGATCTGGCTCCCCACCTAGGCCGTGAGGGGCGGAAGGTCGACAAGGTCGACCTTGACCGCGCCCTGCTAGGTAAGGCGGGGCTGACCTGCACACTGTCGGTCTAGGACCAACGAGTTGTGCAAGCTGTTTGGCCAGCGATTGGACAACGGATGTACGAGAGGGGCTCGGGGCGCGACCTCTCGCATACCTTCAACCCGGAGGTCGGTCTTACACCACCTTGACTTATACAGCTAGTTTCATACTTAGGAAATATTTTTGTTGTTCCTTTTCTGAAAGTCGAACTGAAGTCGGCCAAACGTAAGGGCAAGGCCCTGCATGATCAGACCAGAACGGACCCGCACCGTTGATCCTGTCAAGCGCGTATGCGGGCTGCTAAGCCTACCAACGTCAGACAACAGATGTACGAAAGGGGCTTGGAGCGCGACCTTTCGCATTCCTTCGGTCTGGAGACCGGTCATATAGTTGTCGCATTGTTGACTAGATCATACGTGTATGCGAGCTGTTTAGACAGCAATGCTAGATAACAGATGTACGAGAGGGGCTCGGGGCGCGACCACTCGCATACCTTTTCGACCCGGAAGCCGGTCTTACAATTGCCTTGACCGAGCAGCTAACCATGGACTTAGAAAGTGGTATGATCATTTCCTTGCCCGAGAGTTGAGCCGTGGTCGACTAAACACCGAGAGCGGGGCGTGATACACATATACTCTTTTTTTTACTCTTTGTTCTTTTCTCTCTCTTTTTTTTTCT